CTCTCTCTCTCTCTCTCTCTCTCTCTCTCTCTCTCTCTCTCTCTCTCACAAGGTTCTCCAGCGCTGTCAAGATGACAAATGTGTCCTCATCAAAGGTAGCCGCCGGCCTGTGAAAGGTGACGAGGGCTGGCTAAGTGAGCTGTGTCTCTTTCACAATCTTTTAATTGAAGAAAGTGGAACTTTGTGACACTGTAAACTTGTGCATGTGATGTAGACATCCGTGTGAGGGGGGTGGGGATGATTCACGGGGGTCTTAAACTGGCAGAGTGTAGGAGATGGAGATAGAGATAAAGGCGCCGTATCTCACACCCAACGAGCCGTCGACAGCCTCATAAATAGAGCGGCTGCATGTTGACAAGTCAGCTATTTCTCACTTTTTGTCTAAATCCTTCCTCTGCTTCCAGACGGGGGCCTTGGAGTGATGTGTCACAGAGAAATATTTTAATCAGCTCTGGGGGAAATATTTGTATTTATGACTTTTCATGGATTTTATGAAGGAGAATTCATCTGGAATAGAGAGAGGCTATCAGCCCTATGTTTCATTTGTCCATGTCAATTAACAAAGATGTTCACTCTTCCTATTACAACTTTCAATGAGAGGTTTTCCCCTTAACACTACACTAGCAACATATACTGTACCTGTCCAGCACCAAACAGCAGACAGGACTCAGGAATCATATTGAACATTCACAGTGGATAAGCACGACAGGCAAACTATGACTTCTAGGCAGAGATGGGCAAAAATATATCAAAATGTATTTTGATACAAAATACAAAATAAATGTATTAAAATAAAATACAAAATACTGGTGCCAGAAAATGTAACAAAATACAATACATGTATTTTGTATTTAAAATATAGGAAATACTTTTTTCTGTTTTCTCACAATTTGGTATAGCAGAGCATTCAGGTTTGGGCTATATAATATAATTATATATAATGTACACAAAGCTTTGGTGAAGCCCACAGAAAGGAAGAACAGTCACAGAATGTCAGTGTAACTAAGCAAAGCTATTAAAAGACAACTTGATTGATTATGTATATATATATTTTTTTATTAATAGGACTTAACAGCCCATAAACTTGTAGAATGCATGAAATAATAAAACTAAGAATACTTTCATAATATGCCTTTTAAATAAAATAAATTGGATATTTAATGTTTTTTTTTAAACAAATGGACATCTACTGTCATAGCCTGACTAACTGTGAACTATATTATCTGCCAGTAATTGATATGGCATTATGACATTCACATTGAGAAGATACAGCATAACTTGTAATACAGTGCAAGATTAGATGGTCAGACGTCTCTTGATAAGGTTATCATGAACATACAAGCTCCCAATCTCCCTCTTCCTATAGCTAGCTACTCCACTGACAAGTTAACTTGCTAAACACTGGCTATGCACCAGCCTAGACGGCATGCTAGCGTCATTAGCATGTTAGCATCGATCGCTAGCTTGATATTATAACCAAGGGCGTAGGTTTGCATAGGGTCCATAGGGACTAGTCACGACCAAAGTTTGGGAAAGACACAATTGTCCCCACCAATATTTTGTGTTAGAAAAAATAATTTTGCACAATATATTTGCAAACTCATTCGTATTATTATTAGTGCTGGGCAAGTTAACACGTTATTATCGTGTTAACGCATTAATTAATTAATGCCGACAATTATTTTATAGCACGTTTTTTAAATTTTGAAAGTCTGTTGCTCACTGGCAGCGGTGGAGGAATGGAGACTACTGGACATCGCTGCGGTAAAGTCAGCAGCACTCAGATCTCTGTGGTCAACTCAGCAGACACTTACACTTTAGTGCACCTATATGCTGACATTCACTAAACGCATTCAAACGGCACAGATCGGGAGCGAGCGAAGGACTTTGAAAAGTAGAGGAAAGATTAACGTGAGACAACATCCGGTTTCTTCAGACGAACATCCGGTTTTCAGAATAAGATGCCAACAAAGTATGAATTATATTCACATTAAGTATAAAACATGCTACCTGCATCTCGTGAGTTAAAGGGAAAATACACCTAAATTGTGCGTGAAGTGTCTTTATTCTTTGATCGCTGGGTAACCATCATCACCTCGCAGTTACAGCATTATATTGATGAACAGTAGAGATGAATTCACATGCTCTGACTGTCATGAAGACACAAGACACACATTTAGATGAAACGTGCTGAAACATTTTATTCATGTTGCACAGCAGTGGAACGTTTCACATAAAGTCACACACCGAGCACAGATAGTGAAGAGATAGAACTGCTACTGTGTAAAGGGAATACTGCTGTTAAAAAGCACCTGATTTGTTTAAAGTGTTTGCAAACCAAATGTTATTGACCTTTTGTTCATATAGCAGTACTTTTAAAATAAAAGTGCGCAATACACTACTTTTGAATTCATTATTGAAGTTTGCCATAACAATGAAATTAATCGCGATTAATCGCAAAAAATCCATGCGATTAAAAATTGTAATCGTTGCCCAGCATTACTAATAATTGCATAAAGGAGGAAAGCACTTTATTTATAGCCTATTAAGTGCTGCAGAATAGATTTATTTTTTTGTCTTTTTTGGCTGCACAACTGGGAAAAGTTTTTTATATATATTTTGGATATAGAATATACTGTTACTGTATATTGGCATTTTAGCAGAACGTTTTTTATTCATTTATGTAATTATTTATTATTATTATTTATTTGGTGCAGAATACTGTTTTGTATTTAAACTAAGGTTTTATTACTGTTATTATGTTTAAATCAGTTCCAAGTTACACAAATGTTAATATATTTTAATAAAGTTTGCCTGTTCAACATAATATCAACTAAGTTTTTTTTTATATGGCGGGGGGGGGTTTTTGGGGGGAGGCTGGCAGTCCCCTACCAATGCCGAGACCAAACCTACGCCCTTGATTATAACCATCACCATGTATATACTATGTAGCCAGACCCAGACATAACTTATACATCAAGCTAGTTGACATCTGTCACATTCAGATAAAATATTTACCTTGACAGACAATCCGTTGAACTTGAAGATCTGAAGACTGAACTGTTTTTTGATTCATGGAGAAAGTATTTTGAGTATTTTAAATACAAAATTACTCCACTCTAAAGTATTTTGTTACAAAATACGTTCGATTTTTTATCGGCCCTATCAAATACAAATTACAAAATACTCAAAAGTAATTGAAATACGTATTTCAAATACAAGTAATAGAAATACTGCCCATCTCTGCTTCTAGGTCCCGCTCTAGTGTCACATTTGGACGGTTTACTTACTCTCGAGGTTTACTTGGTTAGGTGATGGAGAAGATTGCGGTTCAGGTCAAAATACTAACGTGCGCTCGTTACGTAGCTGCCGTTGTAAAGTCCGAAAGTTACGTAACAAAACTAAGGTAAAACTAAAATTCTGAACTAAATTTGATTTAGTCACTGTGACTTCACGTGAAGGCGCAGTGACCTCGACCTTAGACCCCCAAATTCGAATCAGTTCCTCTTGACGTGTAAGAAATACCCTCCAGGTCAGGTCAACACGAGGTCAACATGTCCGACTAACCCCGAACACCCGACTCCTTTTATGACTGATGATGAGACTTTCACTGCTGGGGTCACCCTGGGACGGTGCTCCAGTCAGTCTCATCAGCCCTGCTGCTGGAGACGCAGCAGTCTGTCCTCTGCAAGGCCTTTCCCTTGCTGATGGATGGGAGTGCGTGACACGGAACTGTGTGTCAGAGTGATATAAATGGTAGAAATATTAGAAATCCTTCTGTCTGCTGGTGCCGAGATAGATGGCTTAACAGCGGGAAGCTGTGGCTCTGCTGAATTATCTGTGTGTGTGTGTGTGTGTGTGTGTGTGTGTGTGTGTGTGTCCTCTCCGGGGCCACGGCGACAGGACTGATTGAGTGAGTGCATGCACGCTCACACACCCAGAGTGCGCCGAGCCTGTAATCTTGCAACATTCCTGCGCCCTCGAGCTGGTGTAATGGGTGGAGTTGGGCTGGGTGTGTCATTAGCGGCTGCAGGTCTACCTGAAGGCTCCTCTTTAGCTCCAGGGAGCTCATTGACCTCTGTGTTAAAGGGACGCTGCCGCACTTAAAAGACCCCCACCGTCGTTTGAAGTATTGATGCTTGAGTAGTCCTTTGAATGGTGAGGGTGGGGGGGGTCAGATTTTGGTTGTAGATGAGCACCACTGTGGAGACCTGGTCCCAGGGCTGCAGCTACAGCTGAGGACTCTCAGGTCAGGTTCTTTGGAGCTCTTTTTAAAGAGGGAATTTAGAGGTTTTACATTCTGGAGTCAAAAAGTCACAGCTTTTTCAGGCCGGTTCCAGTATTCTTTTAGTATTTTAAGGCAGAAACACCGTTTTGAATGTCTTTGGTTAGATAGCTGAAATATAGAAAATACAGATTTGAATGTATTGCTCTGCGACCTAAATGCTAATAAAGAGGGTGACCATAAAGTGGCCAAATGAGAACGGAGGCTGTCCGCGTTTAAATTCATTAAAACGAATTATGTGTTTAAAATTCCTTCAATCCTGACTGCTTGAATCAGTAACAGTCCTCGTACATGCAGAGACATTAAGGATCAATACACACACCCACACACACTCTTGTTCCCGGCTTGGTGTCTTACTTGACATAGAAATCCAGATGGCGAGGGAATTCCAGTTTTCCGGCCAGAATCTTCTGATATATTCCAAATGGGTTGTCGTCAAAGAACGGTGGGTACCTGTGGAGATAAACACACGTCAACCTCTGGCACGCACCGCCACAGTGTGGGAACTTCATTCACACTCTGCACAAACAGCATGATGCAAGGAGCAGGTAAAGGAGGCAAGAGCTTGCACACCCTCACCTGGATCCGTTTGAACTAGATGGAGAGGAGTCACCATTTAGACGGGGGGGGGCTATGATAACTTTCTGCTTTGGACAGAGCCGCCTTTGTTCACAGTTCTGTGTGTTTTTCTTCCTGCCACCCACAGGCCGGCTGCTGAGTGCTTTCCCCCGCTCTGGCCTGGACAAGTCATTACCCACAAATTACATAATGGGGCCGGCCTCCAACTGCATTACACACAGAGCAGACAGGCGCATAATCGCACCAGTTTGTCACACGCCGCTCGCCTTCCCAGTGAAAAGCTCCAGAGGCGGGAGACTGTGGGACGCCTGGGAGCCGGCCGAGCACCACAGGCTCCACTGGTGTGCCGTCATAGGTGGAGAATCTGGGTCACCGTGGCAAGATGGGAAGAGAATAACATCATGTGACCTAAATATTAGGTTTGGGAGTGTTGTAGTCAAGACCACCTGAGCAGAGACCAAGTCAAGACCTTCTTAAATCTCTCACATGCAAATAACAAGTGGCTCATTCATTGAGGCTCCTGCTTTATTTCACTGATGTCACAACGGGCTCCAAGTTCAAAGGCTTCTAATCTGGCTGTAAAAGTGACTCGGCCGTTCATTCATGCGAGACCAGCGTGTGAAATTGAGAACACATTTGTGGAACTAAAAGAGGCTTGATGCTCAGAATGTCCTCACTCCAGAGGGGATTCTCTTTTATTGAAGAATGGTCATCTTTAGCCCCACTTCTGGTAAAACTCTAGGAACAACATTCCTTGTAGCGCGCTCATACCAGGAGTACTCGTCAATGTGATTTATATTTAAAAGGTACCACAGCTTAGAGGGAGGAGTCAGGAGTTAACTGTAAATCATGACCATGTGACTGTGTGGGTGACACGAGGCTGGTGGACTCCGTCTCTCATCAGCAGGCTGACGAGGACTGACCGGGGGACAAGGAGAAGTGGGAGTTAATTAAATTGTTATGCGCTCAATCCAGAAAATTGGGTCCGGGAATAGACGCGTTTTGATTAAATTGGGATTCATTCATACAACTTTGTTTTCTATAATTAACATGAACGTGAGCCTGAGCGGACCACTGGAGGTTACCCTCCAAAGTGATTTTCAGTCGTACACAGCCACATGTATCGCTACATGTACACACGCAGGATGATTGGCTTCCATTAAGAGCAGGAATCTGGCCCTTAAGGCAGGATTATGGAGAGAAGACCCTTTCTTCTCCTAGTCTCTCTTGGCCCTGACCCCTCAGTGAATGTTTTTTCAACTTGCACTTCACCCCAGAGGTGGATGATCGACCACCGCTAACTTTTCAGAAGCGGCCGTGACATTCTTGGATCAGTAACTCTGAAGAACAGCACAATGCCGCGAGATGAAGGGAGCTCTTTGTCTGAGGGGTCCCACCGTGGAGCCCCTCCCTGGACACGTCGAGTGATGTGCACAGCGGACCGCGACACTTCAAAGCCCTGCCCCGATGAATGCTGGGAGATGGTCGCATTCTTTCCACGAACTCAAAGCCAGGTAGCTTTTCTTCCCAGGGTTTAAAGGAGATGAAGGGTGAGGGCGGCTGACCTTTCAGGAGGAAGCGGCTCCATATTTGGGAGTTAAAGCAGTATGCGGCCCTTATTAAACATATATAGGTCAGGTGTAATTTCATAAATGCTTTTTTAATATAAATACCAGCTAATATTCAGGTAGGCCATGCTACTGAGCCAGGTCCATAAATCAACTGTTGGCTTATAGAATATTACCCGGTGTGTCTCAATCAATGTTAGAGTCCATCTCAACCTGAGCAGCAGTACAATTATTAGAACACGGTTCCACGTACACGGCTCCTCCACTTTCTCTTGCAGGGTTATTATGTCCCATTGCATCACTCTTGTACAGGTGTTCGTGTTATTGTGTCCACTCTCTGTGTGTCTCTCCGATCGTTTTGAGAAATGATCGTCAAGTTTATTCCAGTCATGAGTCGCTCAAAGCGCTCACTGTCTGACTCCACACCTGTGTGTGTGCTTCTATCTGTTAAAGGGACTGAGACGTAGATTGTCTTGATGAGTGCTGCCCCCCGGTGTTTACAGAGGGAGGAGGCGTGGTGTGTTGTGTGGACTGAACACTTACCCGGCCAGCATTTCAAAGACGAGGATGCCCAGAGCCCACCAGTCCACTGCTCGGCCGTGACCCTTGCTCTGGATGACCTCGGGGGCCAGGTACTCGGGAGTGCCGCACAGGGTCCAGGTCCTGATCACACACAGAGAGATGAGCCACATGTTATTGTTTTACTAACTGCTTGTCTATTCTAATTCTTGTTTCTCATCATCGATTCATTTTCCATAAAGGAATCAATTCATCTTTTCAACACTTTACAGGATTCAGGTTCTACGACTTCAGACAAGGACAATCAGCACATTCTAACATTTGAAATGTCTATCAGGCGGATTTCCTTCCGATCAACACATCTATTAATAAAACATTAGTTTCAGCTCTCGGGGGAATAAGTGTTTCCATCTCTTATAGTGCAGCGACTTGTCTTATTCTCTTCTGTTTTGAAGATACCAACATTATACTCACAACATTTCAGAAACAGGGAAAACACTGCTGGGAACAAGTGCAATTACCCTAAAACTGACTCGGCTATTTTTAGACGCTTCACTGCTGTTAAAAGTAGGACACCCACGTGAAGATGAGGGACCAGAGTGTGGATACAGGAGTAGTATATATATATATACACATATATATGTATATATAAGCATTGGACAGGAAGTCCAGAGCAGATTACTGCGTCTGGCTGATTGATGGCGTGTAACAAACATGCACAGTGTTCCCCCTGAAAGCCACTTGTCCTCTGATGAAGAGCACTTGGCCCGACGCCAGCCTTTCATCGCCTGTCACAGATATCACCTGGGTAATGACCTCTTTCGGCCAGTTGCCGTGGCGACGGTAATTTGTATGGAAATGATGTGGATCCAGGCTGTAGATGGGGGGGGGGGGGAGAATACGGAAGAGAGAAGACCTGCGTTGTTGCTCCTCAGTGTGCTAGGCTTCATGTCTGCCAGCAGGGGGCACTGTGGCGGCGCTCCATCTCGTCCTGAACACGGGAGCGACAGAGAGCTGGAGGCAGTGAGGCCGTTGTCTTCCTATCAGAGGCAATTCCGCCGCCCTCCATTTATATATAATTTATATATAAGTGGGTCACTTGAACATCAGAGAGGTATCTACTCCCCATCTGACTTGCTCGCCCAGTCTGGGGGAAAATGTAATCTTACTCCATTATGTTTATATGTCAGCGGGGGTCAACACGGCGTCCGGGTGGAGAAACACTGCAGTGCAGATATAAAGCCGTGTCTTCTCCTCTGTAGTGCATCTTTTCACTTCTGCAGAGGTCGCGCTCACTGTATCTAATTCGGACTAAATGACACCAGCCGGGGGAGGTTTGCAGCAGGTTCTTGGAGTTGGGAAGGTTCCCTCAGGTCCCCAGAACAACATATGAGTGAAAACACACAGGACATGAGCAAGGTGGCTTTGCTTGTTCCTGGACTAGAGGAGTCACGATTGCTGCAGTCTCTAAATCTTCTGCAGTTTTTCTGTCAACAATGCCTTTGCTCTTTACACAACTTGTTGCCACAGAAGGATTTCACAGCTCTGTTGTTTCTCAGTGGCCAAAAAGGTGACAGGAGTTCGTGAGATATAACGTTAACGAGGATTTCTATAAAGTAGAATGTGCTTGAAACACGCTGGACCGAACCGTGTTGGGTGAGGACTAAACTCAAAGTTTTTTCTAACAGTCTGAAACAGTCACAGCCTCTCTGTCTCTGTAGTCCCGACACAATGAATCTCACATACTGTATGGGAATAAAAGGCAGACAGTCCCAAATGTGACTTCAAGCTTTTTCTAACATAAAAATATCTGCCAGGTATTTTCATTTGACATGTGTGAAGAACAGTGGAAAACAGCCGACTGTGTAACATTCATTTGTTCATTAGTTTACCTTATTTGTTTTATATGTTTGAGATACCTGTAGAGGTTAAACTGTTCCATATTTCACAAGAAAAAAGCAAAGCAAATTCATTTATCATTTTGTGTAGCAGAACATTGTTTTAATCCTCTTTGAAACCTGGAAAGCCCTCACGTTTATCTTTGGACGCAGGGGAAATAAGATATTTACATTAATATTGCATTGTTGATGCAATATTAAACATGTTTTATCTCAGCCAGGAGATGATGAGATTGGTTGTGTGGGTACGTGATCCGAGTCTCTGTGTGCGTTCGTATCGGTGTCTGTCCACAGCTAATCTGGCATTCTGCTGCACCAAACCGCACAATATTTGGGCGGCTAACCCACGGCTGCCTGCTCAAGGGCCTCTCCTGGTTGCGGTGATTCATGTTTTCTTTTATTGCCCGTTTAATACCGCCATTGACTGACTGCTGACTCCTTGCTCTCTACTCTTGAATGGCCCCCCGGCTGCTTGGGGCCACAAGTGAGACACAGTGGGGGAAAACAGTTTGCTGACTTTTAATCTTTTGGACGGTGTGTTTGGCTATCAGCTAACAGCTAAGAGCTAACGGAACCACACACACTGCTGAGACGTGCGAGTGAGAAACCTTTCTGATAGTCCAGATAGAGGTTTAGGTTGCATTCATTGAAGACCCACCTGGCAGAGAACAGCACCATTTTAGAGTTTTAAACTCATTTTTCAGGTTCAAGTCTTTAAAGAAAAGTGACACTGAAACAAGCAGACACAGACCAACACATGACCTCCAGACTGCACCCAAGTCTTAGATACGTTTCTTCCAAGTTCCATCAAGAATTCACACTGAATCCACACGGAGCAGCTAAATCAAAGCGCAGCCTTGCCAGCTGTGTGCTTTGGGGCTGTACAGTATGATCTCAGACCTACAGTGAGGAGTGACAGCTGCTTTGTCATTCACTTTCTACTGACAATCAATCAGGCATCAAACACCCTGAGCAGAGAGCGGAGTATCCACGACTGTCACTCAGCAGCAGCCGCACACCACTACAGAAAAGCATCCCCGTGAGCCAGCAGCGCTTCCACGCGTGCGTTTCATTACATGTGCAGGTAGTCCTCCACGTCGGTGGTCATGTCAGGATAAAGGCTCTGGTCTCTTTGATGTAAATGTCACTCCGGCCCTCTGATGAGGTCAGCCCTGATACAGGCTAGAACACAGCGCTGTCACGCTAACAGGACAGGCTGCAGCAGCAGAAAATGAAGATTAAATGCACATCTTGTTCCACCGTCTCGTCCATGTAATGAACGCATCTCTTAACTGTAATCTGTTAAGCAGGACGAGACGTCTGTCTGAATGACAAAAGGCCATCACTTTAGAGTCCTGGTACTTTTTTATATAAAGCATTTATTTTATTATCTGAAAAGCACGGAGGAAATCGTATCTGTACTTTTATCTCTGACCGAGTCACTGCGACGCTTCTACTGTATCTGTACAGAAGAGAGCAACTCAGAAACATTATCACAGCAGCACGGTTTCCTGATTCAAGGCTGCAACTGACAGTTATTTCATCACAAAATCCCAGTTTTCAAATCCCTTTTCAGCTGGTACGAAACTCCAAAAACAGATTATTCTCACATTTGAGAAGCTGGAAGCAGAAACATTTTTCGGTTCATCAACTTATGAATTAATTGTAGAGGTGTGAGTCTTAACTGACCTCAACGATTCAAAAGGCTCGACGTATCGCATCCTCAATTTTCTATGAAAGCATGCAGTCAGATTAATCTCCCTTTTTATTTAAAATGTGCTTTCAAAAACCTGACTACAGCAGTCTGTATTATGAGAAGCTGCATCTTCTCAATACAGTAGCAGTGTGAGCCACCTCAGTACATACATATATTCAAATGGCTCACTTTCTCCAGGTGTGGATTTAAGACTAAAACAGACCACTTCTTTTTAATCAGGCCTCTTAGACTTGGACTGACCTGTCTGAGCCAATCATCTTTTAAAATATTTTCTTAAACTCCACGGTTTAGACATTTTATCCACTCATTTGTACGTCCCTTTGTCCTCTCCTACCTCGCTTCCACTCTATTCCCTGCCAATTTCAACTCCTTCATAATCACTCTGCAAATTGTGGCTGTCGAAAAAGGAGGCACTGTTATTTCCATCACCTGTCGGAGAGCTTCTTAGCGAAGCCGAAGTCGGTCAGGCGGATGTGTCCTTCGCTGTCCAGCAGGATGTTCTCGGGCTTCAGGTCTCGGTACACCACTTCTCTGGAGTGCAGGTACTCGATGGCGCACACGATCTCGGAGGTGTAGAAGAGGCCGGTGGCATTGCTGAAGCGCCCGCGGCTGCGCAGGTAGCTGAACAGCTCGCCGCCCGGCACGTAGTCCATCAGCATGTAGAGGAAGCGCTCGTCGTGGTGGGTCCAGAACCTGAGAAGCAACAAGAAACACCCAGACGGTCTTTTTAACGCCCAACACTAAGTCTGCCTCGGTCCACAGCTGTCCTGTGTGTCCATTGGAGGGTAAAAGTGTTAAAGTGCTCTCTGATGAGTTGAGGAAATCAGATAAAATAAGGATCCGTATCTGTCTCCGACTGGAGCGGTGTGCTACGACTATTTCAGCTGGAAGTGCCCTTCAGAGGAATAAAATCAGAGCTCTGTCACTGATGAAGATGGAGGAGGCTCCAACGTTTCCCACAAGTGCTGGCTGCTAGCCACTAACACCACGACTGACTCTTTCCTCCACTGCTACTCTATCTCCACACTTCCTCTTGGTTTTTTCCTGTTTGCCGACGCTACAGTTACCTCGATCTACAATCACGTTTATCGACCAGCCACTGAATTTAGATCTCCGAGTGACTATTTAGGAACGCACCCGTACTCTGCAACAGGAAATAAACTGAGGCACATTTACAGTTTGGTGGACTCAATATAGTAGAGTCCACCATCCTTTAACACTTTGAAAGAAATGTAAGAATAGCAAAATAAATACATAAAAAGGCTTCAAATGGACCCTGTGATCGGTGATAGCAACGCTTAGTCTCTTACACTGTACGCTAGATTAGTGCTGACTGATACATGAAGAGGCTGGCAGACATCAGAGTTAGATACTTCTGATATGAGGTCATGTGTAAAAGGGCTCACCACATATCTGTGTTATTTTTTATGTGGTCAGTGTTCCAGATTTAAGATTACCTTATCTAAAAATGTTTTCTGTTGAGTGTCGTGTCAGTCTAAAAAGTTGATAATAAATGTACACATTTCACTGCTTTAAGAATTTCATCTTTGATTTAGTTAGTGTGTAAGAAGATGAACTCAGTTTTACGTTTCAGTGAGAACCTTGAAACGTTTCCTCACATTGTTCAACACTACACAAGCTGAGTCTCCATCCTCTCAACTATAACAGCATGAGAGAGCTGTGAGGCTGCTGTCGTCCGTCTGTGAGATGAACATATGAAGAGACACATCGTTTACTACAAACTGCAGGGATTCAGGCATTTCAAATCTATAATACACAGTGAGCCTTTTTCCAATTATTACCAGAACTCCGTCTCCATTGGAGCCTCTCATAATATGTGTCTTTACTAATAACTGGGAGGACAACCTGGCAAACATAAATAAAAAGGAGTCATGTTCTCAGACACTGTTACATGTGCTGTATTGGAACTATATCAGATTTTGACACTGACGCTAGAGCAAAGCATTGAGAATGGTTATTACTGCTCCTTAAGTCTCCACATTACAGTGGATTTGTATCAGTGGGGAGATCTATTGTATTATGGAAATTCCTCTCAGAATAGGGTTGGGATTGAATTAATTATGCATAATATCTACTGAGGCAGTGGACAGAAAAGGTGAATATTTAATGTGATTATGAAACACTGGTGTTATAAACCGTGTGCCTCACTTTAAAAGAGCATAACACCAGATTGGGAGTATTTGGATTGCCTGTCAACGGCTGAGGCGCCGGCTCGTAGCTAACAGCGCTAACTGAGCTAACAGCGCTAACAGTACAAACTATGGCGAACGTGCTGACAGTGACACACATACTGAATCGGTTTGTGGAACATAAAAGTGATGGAGAGGACGACCCTGTGGCTGTAACAACTGGAAAGCGTGTGGTGAGAGAAAAGATGACGGATGGATTGATAATGGCAGACAGTGATGGGTGAGGGTAAGCAGAATATTTATTAGTGTCATTGCAGTTGGCAGTGACATAACACATATTTACAGCCCGCTTTATCTTCTCCAAAGGGCCCAGAGGTTGAGAGGCTTAGAGGACAACATGTCTGCCGTTAAAGTATACATCTATATTATTTTACACGTTTACTGTGTTCCATCTTTCAACCAACTTCAGTCGGGATCGTAAACCTGAGGATATGAATCAATCTGGGGGAAAATAGCAACAACTACTACTCACTCAAATGACTCACTTCTTTCAAGAGACAAAACATGTTGATGAATTTAATTTGGACAGCACGAGGCTAGCGGTTTCCCCCTGCTTCAGTCTTTATGCTAAGCTAGGCTAACTGCGTCCTGGCTCCAGAATGATAAATAACAGCTGCTCCCTGTTAGCTCACCTGGTAGAGCGAGCACCGTATTTGCTGCACGTCCTCACCTCTCTCCCCCTTTTCCTCCCTTCAGCTACTCAAGCTAAATATGCCCAACCATTATTTTTTTCAGTATCAAGTTGAGCAGAACTGTAGAAGCTAACGTGACTACGCTGGAGAGTTGAGATATAGATGTGTCAGGGAGCTCGGTATTCATTTGCATGCTGTCCATATGATCTACGGCTTATGGCCTTCAAGGTTGCTCTGTCATATATAATATGAAATAAGGACTAGAGTCCTCTTTAAGTGCAGTTGGGAGGAAGAGTAACGGATACGCTTTCTTTTAAAGCAGAGAGAATCTGAATCAATGTGTCAGAGCGCACACACGACAATGAACTCTGACCTTTTTTCATTAGAAATGTTCAGCCAGTGGGCCGTGAGCCCCCCCCCCCCGGTGTGTGTGTGTGTGGACTCACAGTCTGATGAGGAAGGGGTGGTTGACCTCGGACAGCACCTCCTTCTCATTGTGGACGTGCTGCTCCTGCTTCAGTCGGATCACGTCCGGGATCTTCATCTGCTTCAGGGCGTAGAAGGCCCGGCACTGCTTGTCCTTCACCAGGAAGACTCGGCCAAAGGTCCCCGTGCCTGGGGGGGGATTAACCACAGCTCACTGGGGAACACTCAACCGTGACAAATAACCGCTTAGCTAACGTTCCACATGTATCGATTTTGTTCAAACGTGCCATTCATCATCCATGATAAGAAAAACAGATATGCAGTCGACATCATGAGCCAATACTGTGACTCCATCAAAGGTCTTCAAATGCAGTCATCTGAAAAAAACAGCTGACACAGCTGCTTTATGTTTATATCTGTTGCAATGACAAACATTCTATTCTTTGTATTTACAGCAAGGCTTTTATTATTAATTTGAGTATTTTTTTCGAACCACCACCTCTGATTAAAGGACGACTCTGCTCTACCACTGAGCCACAGTCGCCCAGTGGAAGCTGGTCAGTAGCAGGAGGATAGAAGACTCAAGCCCTGAGCTGATGACACTATGTGATTCAACAGCCTGAGTCAGACACGGAGCCGCTGCAACTCTCTAATGAAATGCTGGCTGTCTCCTTGGTCTGCTTCACAAACAATGAACCTGTCTCAGGTGTATTGGTGTTTCCATAGCGACGCAGACACAGTGGCGCACCGTCAGATGAACACCTCGTACCTCCGTAAACGGTAACGCCATCACCTATAATGTCCTTGGAACACCCTGATTCAGGGTTTCTGGCTGCTTCATCAACTCACTCTCAGCTGACATTGTGAAAAACCGCTGTGCCTTCTTTCCCTTCTCAGTGCTCTGCATTTAATAATAAACAAGTATTTATTGAGGTATTAAAACGGTGATCTTTGTCATTTAAAAAGTATCCATGTAGCTAATAATAGCATCTCGTACAGATATGAGCCTTTTCCCCTCTATGATGGTTAAACTGTGTAATTGATCAGACTGATCATGGCTCATTTTATATCCAAAATTCTCCCTCACTGCCGATAAAAGAAACTATATATACATGAAAACCATAACTTACATAACTGCTCTCATGGCAAACCCGGTTTGTAGGAAACTCAAACAGCACTCTGCTAGCTGTTTCACGACCGCCTACTGTCACATCTGTGCACACCTGGCTTTTTGAAAATGTACAAAATTGTGACCATGTAGAAATGTGTGTGCGTGTGTGTGTGTGTGTGTGGTTAGACAGTCTGACAATCTGTGCTTTTGAAGCACAGTGAGGCCCTCAGTTTCAGTGGCAGAACTGTTTCCTCTGATCAAGTTAAAACTAAAATAAGGCATGAAAGTGACCTGAAAGTGGAGTTCCACCACAATAATTCAGAAGGAGAAGATGACCTCACCATCTCACCCCAACTCCCTCTCTGCATAACAGAGTGCTAAATTGGTGGTACATTTGAAGATGCTGAACAAGAGGACGACTTAGCGATGCTGTAAAACATTTCTTCTGAGCCAGGGACAAAGGCAGCAGGCAATTAGCCTCTACCGAGACATGGCCAGGTGATTTCAGAGAGTAATGTGCTGTCATTGATATGTACCTCTCTGGAAGCTGGCTCATCCACCGACTCCCCTTCCACCTGCTTGGGGAGAACCAACGAGAGGCGGATCAACAAACCCCCACATATCATGTCGGGGGACGTCATTAGCCGTGACCGGCCTGCCGTCGGCGGTGCCTTGGAGGGATATTCTCCGGGTCGCGAGGCTACTGCAGCACGCGACGGCGGCAAATATATCTGAAGGCGCCAGAGAGTTGCCTCATGATTCCGATGACAATTAAACAACAGCAGGCAGATACAGAGCTTTAGCTGATTTGTTTTAGGCAGCAAATCCCCTCATCAGACAAAATGGCTTGGCAAATTGGATTTTTTTTTTGCACGCGGCTCATAAGCTCGGAGCTTTCTCCCGACAGCACGGGATGCCGCACACCTCCCTGACGGGCTGTAAGCTCGGGCTTTGTTGCTCAGTGTATATTGCTGAGCTTGACGTCTTTCAATAAACCGGCAGCGTGACATCGTAAATCGTGGCGCGCGGTAAATCTATTCCTCTCTCTGACCTCCTCACACCTGCTGACCAAGCATATTCAAATGTATGGCCATGGTGCATTCTCCATTGTCGGCCCCTCTCCATCACTAAACCATCTTAAGAACGACTGTCTCTGTATTTTTAGCTTTTTAACACTCATCAAGAAGATATGGCATAAGAGGACTTTTATATCTAATATATCACTCACAGAATCATGGCTTTTGTTCTTTTCTAAAGAATCTTTGGATCTTACCCATCCCAACAAAAAACAACAACATTACAACTAATGTAAGTCCTAACATAACGTTCCTCGCTCCTCTCAAACATCCTGCTGATGGACTGAAACAACAAAAGCCATCACATCTATGTGATCATATTTCATTGAGCACAGACTAATTGATAAAAGGGGATATATTATGCTCATCATCATTATTTGGGGTTTCTAATAGAACATGTTTACATGTTTGAATGTTCAAAAAACACATTGTCTTTGCTCATACTGTCGGTCTGAATATACATATGTATCCACCCTCTGAAAAACACGGTGCACCTTTTCCAAAGTTGCTTGTCAAGCCGTGGGCGGTATATTCTAATGAGTCAGCATGTGACACGGGAGGAGCAGCCAAATGTGCCGTTCTTGTTGAATCACATGATCCAGGTAGCCCACAGAACACTGGCAGGTTTGAGTTGTTTCAGCTTGCAGGTATGTAGGCCTTCAAGATACCCAAATGTTTGTGCACAAGCACTGAAAATTGAAATTTCTTTAATCATATGCACCTCAAGAATGTAACCCTGTGCTTTTGTCTCACATGCGTTGATTTCTCTTGAGAGATGATTCGTATTGTTTGAGGGAGAGGTTCTTGTGCAACCCCATGGCGTAGGTGTGACTCAAACATGTCTCATTTGGACAATGCAGCCGGTGGTGACTAACTCCCTGGAGGGCAAGTTGTTGCCTGAACACGGACTAGCCTAAGCTTGGCATGTGAGCTTCTCTGAGCACTAACTGGACAGTGGACACGCCTCTGTCGTTTTCTCTCGGGCCGATGACCGACCCAGCTGTCTGGAGTCCTGTTGACTTGCTGACTTTGAGAACTACGCACTCCGCATTATGATGAAAATCTCACAAAAACAGAACTTCCACAAAATGGTGCCTGACGGGATATTGTGTGGTTTGGGATTCTCTCCATACTGTACAGCAGTACTCCCACAGCATGGAGAAACACTGGCTTCATGAAAAACATGAGAAAAATTGTCGACTCTGGTTGTAAAACATAATATAAAATGAACTGTCTTCATGGTTTCTCCCCTTGGCAAGCGGCCATGCTAGAAGCAGGATAACGCTCTCTAAGGTGAACATTATGAGGCATTCATGGACTTCGCGGAGGCTTCCACGTGGTCCAGCATAGATGGACGAGTTCAAATGTTCAAAATGTGAGCTAAAAATGCATTTTGCCATTCATTCTGTTGAACGCAACACTGAGTGGGAAAGACTACCCTGAGGCACATTCTACACTTTAGCTGAGTGTCTCTCTCTTATTCCGATCACAGCAAGTACAGTTTGTCACACGATTCATCCGCGGGACGCTTAGCTGGACAGATTGTGGTGGACCGACCTCAGCCAGCTTCATACAGGCAACATGATGAAGACAAAGGACCAAGTAGGTCAGCTGTGACTGGGTGACATTGATAAACAACTGGTATCCTGATATGAGACGATCAAATCTATATCAAGAGGAGCTGTCACATTTATCTCGACACCAACAAATGAAGAAAAATTGATATTTAGTATGTAATCACTATTATATCTGCGAACTCTTTTATCATTTGATCAAATATTCAGCCTTTAAAGTTTCAACACAATAATCTTTGCTTCAATGAAATACATGAAAACAAACCACAAACTTTGACGACTTTGGACTTTTAGGAAATAGTCACGGACATATTAATTGTGTTATGATGGTTTAAGGATCAAATAATTAATAGTGTAATCAAGACAATAACTGACAGTTCCCTAGATATTGACAATAATCATGCATTGATGGATTCATTGTCATTTTTCAAGCAAAAATAGAAAAATATATCAATTGGTTCCAGCTGCTCAACTGTAAATATTTGCAGGTTTTCTCAATCAATCAACAAAATGCTCTGCAGCTGAGTAAATGATGAACATTATCATTAGTTATAGCGCTGCTCGGTAGTTAGTAATACTCATTACTATAGTATATAGAGGTTTAATAACCAACTCAACCGCATTATCATGTACAATGTTGTTAAATGCCTTTCTATTTGTCATATTTTTTGTGCTTGTCGTGTTCCTGAAGTTTGGGAACTGCTGCATTTTACAGAGCAGCCCCTTGAGACAACAGTCCAGTACCGGGGAATCCCATGCGTGCGAAAGGTCCTTGAACTCACCGACTGTGGCGATGGTCTCCAGGTCATCCAGGCAGTATATCCGGTTGTTCGGCGCTGCTTCTCCGGCCGAACAGCCGGCGTTGCTTTTGCCCTCTTTCAGGGAGTTGGCCTCACTGTGGACTCCGACTTTAGCTTTGGAGGACGCCATGTCTTATTGTCGGAGACGAGCTGACTTACTCGGGTTCAGAACTTTCCAGTGGGACGCATAGAGTTCACATCACACATTTCTGGGTACCGTCAGTTCATCTTCTTTGTCTGACGTTAGCTGTGGCTGGGCGGCTTGTTTTTGGACAGTGACGCCTTCCACATCGGAGAAGTGAGCGGAAACCGTAGAAAACGTTTATGTTAACAAGTTCTGTTAATTACCAGTCAATAGGAGATGAAACCACTGGCACGGGCGAGACAAAGAAGCTGGTGACAGGTGCACTGCTCTGGCATGTAGCGTTAGCGACTTTGGTTAGCAGCTAACGACCCATAGTGAGCTAAATGGGAGAAGCACTGTAGACTGGAGCTATGAAAGGGGAAGCGGCGCGAGGGAAGCTCCGGAATAAAATAGTTAAAAAACCGAATCAACTCGATGAAACCCGTGGCTTTTCTGACTCGAGTTTACTGCTTTCCTCCATTATTGACTCCACTACCACAACAGACCTCACCCAGTAGTTCTTCTATGGCCACATCAATCAGGAAGCGATACAGTATCGGTGTACATTTCGTTTCCGGTCAGGACTTTCAAAGTAAAAAGCATGAACCGGCATGTGGACGTTTACTGAGTAAATCACGGACCCTAAGAGAATGTCGATGTTTTCTATGTGTTCTAGAAGGAAATTAATGAATACTATTGTTCTAACAAAGTAACATAACCAGCTTTTTCTTTTTCTTTTCACGTGTGTTTTTTTCCAAACTGTTTAACTTCCTGTATTTTCAACCTGCCTGTATGTGTCTTGACACCGATGGGAGACAGCGGCTGCATGTTGACAAAATGCAGCCAATGAAAGCGAAGCTGTCCCGGGACATTAACCAATAATGTGCGAGGAAGGGTGCGGTGATAAATACAGGTTTGATATCAACTCAACCACCCACGGGTACCAGTAATAGATACATAAAATCAAAATGTAAGAAAACTACAGTTGATTATTGTCTTAAAATCTGCGGAATTCACAAATACATTTTATTTAGAATATCATTGGAATAGAAATTACTCCCAAAGAAGACTTCAAATGTGATTTACAATCATTTTAACACGTATTCTTGTTGCTGTACATTGATAAATCAAAAAGGCGTATGAAACCTATCTGCCAATGTTGTGGCAAAATGATGAGAAGAGACGACGAACTGAAGTTGCAACCCAGCGAGAAGTGTTTTAATGAGAACAAGCTAACATAGTACAAGTTCAGCACATCCAAACAAATCCAATGTATTACTTTTCACAGATTACTTTTATTGTCAAGATTCACCCCCCTTAAGTCACTTTCCACCAATCAAACCAGTCCGTCGAACCACAAACAAAACACATCTGGTCTCTTCATTATGTCATGTTCTCATGTCTTCGTTTGGGTCAAGATAACCTTTTGGCAGAACACACGATTCATGTACGGGAAATGTTTTGATACAAATTGGAGAGATTTATTACAATTTGTCTGGTGCACCCTAATCACTTAAGAATGTTTTTGTGAAACAGAATGTGTTCAACATAACAAACTGTTTACTTGTGAAGCCAAATGTGTTCAGTTCAATCATAAGTTATATGATGATTTTCTTCAACACCAACATATTTTAAAAAGTAGTAGCCAACCATGAAATTGCCACAAAATCCAGTTCACAGACAATGATCTGGTGACCCTTTCACCCAGCCCACATCAGGTCAAAATGTCCCTTTCTTCAACACATATGCTGCATGGCAACGCATCCTGAAACTTCTGAATTCCCAAGAAGAGATCGAGATCCATGCTCTAATGCGTGGAGCCTAATGTTATGTATCCCTGTATGAGTTCCCGGTCATCTCAGTCAGAAATATGACAAGGAAAATCAAAATCAAATTTGCAGACTGTCATGACAGTCAATTTGCTGATCTCGTTAAAGCTTCCCATGAGGATTAACCCCTTCAATTCTGGGTCCTTAGTGAGCTTTCAACCACTGCCATCCTTAGGCATAAATGTAAAAATTCCACTCAAGATATTTCATAATCTCCTCGCATGGTTTCCTCCATGCATCCCTGGTGGAAGGGACTAAGACACAAGGAAAGGATGCAAGTGAGGGAAACGGGGATGCAATTAAGAGACTTGAGAAGTACCCTAATACAGCAGCACACTGTACTGTCACCTAAACTTCAAATGGATTGCAAATTGATGCAGATAGAATCCAGCTACAAAATGAGACTTCATCTTATTGCACATCTTTATGAAAGCGTGATTCTTTGGCACCACATAAGCTGGTTCATCAAGACATTGCCACATCCTGCAGTTTCTTCTTTATTCACCTTTCTGTTGCCCCCGGAAATGTTGCAGCAGCGGGAACTACCACAGAAGCGACAGAAACAACACCTTTCACAGTAGACTTATAACCACTGTTAAGATAAATATATTGGTTCGTGCCACTTCAATCCAATAGTTTATTTCAAATACCCAAATGAGTGTTAGTCTCCTTTAAAAAGCCTGGCTGTGGAGGCTATACTTGAGTACAGGCTTAAATGTGTCACGGGGGAAAAGAGGAAACTCAAGACACGCATGCCACTAACATAAACTTAAAATACTCCACACTGACTCAGCTGTCCTCAGTGTTCAGACTTGGCAGAAGAGAGCTGGAGTCCTGGTTGGATACTGTGGCTTGGGACTTATTCATTTAAATATGACTTGAGGTGTAGCAGCTCTGCTTGCTTTGAAGTCCTGTCTGTCCTACAAATCTGTATTTTACACCGACATAACTCTCCTTCAGCATGGCATTCATCCTCCTCCGGACTAAATAAATCAGCACATTTCTGCACATCAGAGCTATTTAAAAGACATAGAATGTGTAATACAAGCACATTCATTTTGATCAAACATATTTCCGATTTCCTGACTTGCACATTCAGTGATTTCATAGTTTGAACGTTTTGTGACTACATTAGCAATGCAAAGCAGAGCAGTGCTATTAGTATTCACGCTGCGGCCTGTCTGCTGCATGGGTGGAATAAAGATGCGTTTGATTTAGACAGAGGTGGCCTAACATTTGCGCTTGCGTCCTCAAGCTGTGAAACTATTTGGCACTCCGCTATGATACCGTGCTCCTCTGAAGCTGCCTGTCAAACACAGAGAGAAGGAGAGCGGCTTTAAAGAGGATTTCAGTCAGAGAGATAAGGTTTGTGTGGAGTGCTTCTCATTCACTTGATGTGACTGAGAGAGTTATCTTGATGAGTGAGACTTAAAGTAATTATGTTGACAAAGAATGTGTTCATATCAGCTAATGATCTGCTATCATGGTCTACGTTTATTAAAATGAGAAAACCTCTTTTGGAATATCAAATATCTATTATCTTTTTGCAGGTAAAAAATGATTTATATTTTGGCCTCCTTTAGGATTTCTTTTCTTTACCTTCTAATCGTTTCCTGCTCTGAATATCAATCCACCTGAACCTCTCCTGAAAGGAATTCAGATACTCTCAGATAAACAAAATAACATCTCCAGAGGCTGCAATGTTTATTACACACCACAATACATTAAATATACATGTAATAAACCAGATGAAGGTGATTTTAGCTTGAGGGTGATACAAAATGGATTAAAAGATAAAATTTGTCCTAAAGGAAGTGACAGAAGACAAATAATTAAATTGGTTTATCCCGTAGGGAGCATGGAGGTGTAGTTTGGCCATTAGATCTTGTGATATCTTGTGTAAAAAAGTCAAGACTTTGGCTCCACGAGGAGGTAATAGTATACACACTTTTCATTAGGAGCCTATTAGGAGCTAGAAGAAAGGTAAAAGGGTCACCGAAAATATTAGCAGTCCTCTTCAGGGGACCATGACAAAAATGTTCAACCCCAGTTCGTCCAATACTGATGCTTGGTCAGTGCCCCTTGGCATCTGATACCGATGCATCGAGGCACTCTTTGGCAGCTGACGTAGTATAAAGAGTGAGAAAGTGCATGTAGGGTGGAGAGGAGGGGTCTAATAAACACAGGACTCTAACCCAGGGGGCCGCTGTTTGTGTCCTGTGTGAAACCAAGTCAACCTTGACTTATTTTACCCTAGTTTTGTACTTTACTGACACCAACAAAAGTCATTTTAACCCAAACCACATTTTTTACAAAGTCTAACCCAGTAGTTTTGTTGCCTTAACCTATTCAAGTAGTTCTGCTGCATAAATAAACCTAAAAACTACACTGGACCATTATTTTGAAAAGAGATTATGCATGCAGAAGCTGTATGTGTCCTGTGAGCACGGAAGTATATTTTGAAAAGATATTATGCATTTATTGAGTGCAAACGGACGCATTGTCCCTGACAAAATGTCAAAAAGTGACGCTAGAGGGGAACCTAGGGAGTCATCCTGTGGCGATTATGAATATGATATCAAATTGAATGGCAGTTTAGCCATTAGCTTCTGTCACAGCTGTCTTTGGACTGACGCCTTTCCATGCTAAAGTACCCAGACGTGACTGTATGCATTGATATCCCTGAAGCATGCGCAACAGAAGATTTAAATGTTAACATTGTGACCATTAAAGTCTCAATGTGTTCCCAACCAAAAAGTCTTTGCCTAACATAAGTCATGTAATGCACCAATGCGGCTCCTCTCTGTGGGTGTTTTAGTGTGCTGCCACCACCATTATCTGTCTCATAAATGCCTCTCCCATCTGCTGGAGTCAGCCATACTGTAATATGGTCATCCAACTATGTAATTTGCCTTTGCAAACTGTGTTCCCCCTCTGACCCCCGAACACATTACCCTCCACATTTCACGTCCAGCCCTCCCTCTCAAGAAGTTTCCCTCGTGCTCTTAATGTCGCCTCCTGGCCGGTGTTTCAGCAGCTGCAGTGTTATCAGGATGATGATGACTGGCACTGAGAAGTAAGGACGTGGGTTTAAGCTGCTTGATATTATAATGGTCGGCCGTCTCACAATTCTACCCAGTGGTAAGAATCCCTGTCTGGTTCTTAAAAATGTATTCTCTTTGTCCCTGTCCTTCGATGACCTTTCCCTGAATTCAAGGAGGAATCAAAGAGAGGAAGGGGATATAAGAGAGACTTAAATACCTTTTTACTGCATAATTTAAGCTTTTAGTAGAGTAAGAGTATATCAACAGGGATTAGGGTTGGAGCCATGAATGGAGCTGTTAATATGGAGACAGCCTAACTCTGACATGATGGACACGATTCTGTTTCCCATTATGAATTCAATGTTATGACTTTCTTTTTTTAAATGTTCATATATAACAAGCTTTTGATAATTTGTACTCTGGCATTCCAGATCTGAGGGAAAACTAAATATGTAAAAAGAAGGATGAAGATGGAAAAACCTGTCTGGGATTATGAGAATCTTTTGGAGAAAGTAGTTCTTAAAATATTAGATTTAAAATATTAAATATTAAAATATTAGTATTTATATCATTTACTGAAGAGGGGACAGACGCCTCCTTATAGTTTCATAAAGTCGTAAATCTCACAAATGGAGATAAAAAGGGTATGTATTAGCCCAAACAATATTACCAT